CAAAAATGATTTTGAAGTTACCATTTACCATGTAGTTTTAAGATCTTTATAAATGTGTTTGCTTTTCTATATGCAGAGGCGAATTCTAAGGAAATCTGTGAAGAAATATCCTTTCTTTCTTTTTTCAGGAAAGTGCTGATGTCAGCATTTTTGTTGAGATTCAAGGCTAATTATCTCGAATGCGAATGCCAGAAATGGAAAAAGCATGTCGAAAATATCAAAATGGCCAAGTTTGAGGCCCCCATCATTAAAGAAAGAGATTTTATGACGGTCCGAATTTTTAAAAGAATAAGAAGATTTGTATGGAAAAAGTTGCTGGAGAGCAAGGCCTTGCCCTCCAGCAACATTTTACATACAAATCCTCTAAATTTTCCGAAATTCAAACTGTCGTATAAACTTACTCTTTAATTCCAGGGGCCTCAAACTTGGCCATTTGGGTATTTTGATGCGCTTTTTCCATTTCTGGCATTCTTTAAGTTATAGCCCATAATATAAAAATTTTCTAGGAAAAAATTGCTCACGTGACCCCAGCTGCAAAGGGCCTATTCTAAATCTATACATTAAACTTTCATTGTTTTTATTAGCGATAAATGAGTTGATCATCAAATATCACAAGTCTCATTTGTTTCGGTTCAATATCCTAAAAGGTACCTCAAAAGCTCCTGTGCTCTGGACCTTTTGAGGCTGAACACTTTGGAAAAACGTCATAATGTTCTCTCGGTAAAGGATCCCATGATTATTGTATTCACGAATGCTTTTTATTCATTTTCTCGCCTTCTTCAACTATTGTTATTGGGATATTTCATTTTCATACTAATGTCAGCTGAGCCACAGAAAGATAATCTTATCTATTGTTGTACACTTGCTTTGGGTACCAATGCTGTCATCAGAGCTCTCAGTAAGCACCAACACGACTCTATACGTGAGCTGTTGGGTATCAGAATAAGTTGCACCATAAAAGGTCTAGTTTACCATATGGTAAGCACGAGTAGTCTAGAATAGTTTAACCTGCGACCGTGCTTTCTATTCGTTCGCGGCGGTGCAGTAAAAAGAGCGCCTGATCGGAGGTAGGAATAGCCACACAGAAGAATAGGTCCTGTTTCCTTTACTCAGGTTTTTTATAGGCTGGAATGTAAAGGGATGTAACACGAAACTTTTGTTTTCTCGTGCTCGTATTTTTTTCACAGCTGGAGATAAATGGAAGAAAGTTGAGTTGAAAGGGAGTTGTCTTGATGGCGATATCCTAGACTGCTTCCATACATAAATTGGCAACCACAGGACTAACAGGACTGCCCATGGCACAGCCAAGGATCTGTTTGATATCTGTATTTAATGATTCTCAAGTAATTGACAAGGGTTCTTTCCGTATTCGCAAGACCCTAGAATCTACGCACACCACTTCGATAAATCATGCAGATAACAATTCAAGGCCGCCAATCAGGGCTGTAATCCTTTAAAAAAGACCAATTAGTTTATTGACACTCATATCCTTTTTCATTTTAAGATTATTCTTTTCATAGTCTCACCTATTTTTGTATATATTTGAAGTTATCATTTTTTATCCATCGAAGGTTGCATTCATGACACTGCCGAAAGCTCGAAAGTTTTAACTTTTTATAGCCAATGAATGTTTTTATACATTTTTGATAAGTTTATAATAGGTTTAATAGGTTAATATGGCCTATTTCGTTTCTCAGCAGTGATAGTTGCTCTTGACGTCTGGCTCTCCTCGCTAACACAGAAACTTCCAGAAGATACGAAAGACAACAGAAACCTCACTATCTATGCTTGTCTTGTCGCTGCGTCTCTTATCTTTGCCGTCATTCCTTCTGGTTTCCTCAAGATGTTCTGAGCACCTTCATGACCAAATGGTGCTAGCTAGTTTAAAAGCACAGTTTCTGTTCTTTGACTCAAATCCCGTGGGAAGAATACTCAATCGATCTTCTAAAGACGTTTTTAGAGGATAAGGAAAAAACGTCATAACTTTGCTTGTGTTTGAGATAAGCAAATAGTTTTTAGTTGTGTGAAAAGAAGAAAACACTATGCAGTAATTCTGAAAGAATTTGGACGTTTCATTAAATGTGCGAATTTTAAGTAAACATACCGTAATCCCCAAAATTTGGAGTTTCAATTTTCCATTTTGTGTGGTTTTCGAGGTGCCTACAAAAAAAACTTCTCAATAAATAAAGCCGGAAACCAAACCTGCCAAAATAAAGCCCATTTTCCGTTCATGGCAATTGTTGCTTGACTTGTGTAAAGAAAATGAAGGCAATTAATTTTCCACGAAAATTTGAGTGGTCGGTTCCTACAC